AGATACGGGGACCTGTAAGCATAGGACTTGACTGGAATTTGGTGGCAAAGGGCCGCAATTCTCACTTGTTCCTGCACCCTGGTAGCTGGGGTCATGGTCAATCCCCTCCCATGCCAACCCAGAAATCAGTGGTACTCCCTCCTGCTTTTCCTGAGGTCCACACCAGGCATAGCACCCCTGCTCCTGTAGATGCATGAACGTACCTCACAGAGACTGTATTCACAATTCCAATCTCTACCACATCTATGAGGAGGCAGGTGGTGAGTGCCTGAAAATTTACCAATATGTAATCATAAATTGAATATAAATACGATACCAGAATGTCTCAGAGAAAACAGATGATTTCAGCTTAGATGAAGAAACAAGACAGTGTTCCTTAAACAAGCAAACAAGGTAGAGTCAGAACTTTTAACACCAGACATGGTATAGCAATTACCTGATGAGGAATTTAAAAGAATGCTATTAGGCAACTCCAACGGATTGAGAGAATGATCAAGAGAACTGCAGATGAGATCAGAGAAAACATGGAGAAACTATAAAAGAATTCAGGAAACAAACTGACAAAACAAATGAAAAGAAAAGGGAAAATACAAAAAGAGCAATTAGAAAGCCAGAAGATTAATACTAAGACTTCAGAAATAGATAAAAAGAAAAATAGATATCACAAGTAGAATTGAATCAATGGAAGTCTGAATTACTGAGCTTGAAGAGAACTGTCAATATTCATCTCCTAGAGGAAAGAAGAACAAACACATCCAAAGAAAGCAAAAGACTTGTTTGGGACACTATCAAGAGGAATAACTTATGTGTGATTGGAATTCCAGAATGTGAAGAGAGGAAGAAAACCTATAGAGACTATTGTCCAAGAATTGTTGGAATAAAACTCCCTAACAACATGAAAGACAAGAAGATAGCCATTCAAGAAGTTGAACAAATTCCAAAAGAAAAACACCAAGACATAATTAAGCTTTTAAAACTAAAGACAAGGAAAGAATCCTTAGAGCAGCTCAGGAAAAATGAAAAGTTACCTGCAAAGGAGAACTAGTAAGACTAAGCTCTGATTTCTTAGCAGAAGTTATGCCATCAAGATGACAATGGAATGAGCTATATAAAACACTGAAAGAAGAAGAAGAAGAAGAAGAAAAATCAAGAATTATATATCCAGCAAAATTGTGCATTAAATGTAACAGTGAAATTAGGTCATTTTCAGGTAAACAGAAATTTAAAGAATTTGTAAACACCAGACCACCCTTATACAAAATACTAAAGGGAGTTCTTTGGACACAACCAACAACAGCAGACAATATCCTTAAACTAACATATGTGACAATATAACTTAGACTCAACCCAGATTTTTTTATTGTTGTTAAGTGACGTTGAGTTGTTTCCAACTCATAGTGACTCTGTATGGGGTTTCCAATGAGCGGCTGGTGAGTTTAAACCATCAACCTTGTGTCTCATGCTTATTCTGCAGCACCACACCAAGACTCCCAACCCAGATATTGAGGCATTTAAAGTAAAACAGAACTGCAAGAATGAAAATCGAGAACCAGAGACACAGTTGCAGCAACAAAAACAGAAACATAAAGTGAAAAGAAGGAATAATATAGTCACAGAACTTCTAAATGAATAGGAAATAAAATACATTTGAAGTAAAAATAAATAACTGTAATCCTAAAAACTAAACTAAGTCTTATTCCTAGCCCTAGCCCAACCCTTACCCCTAAAACTAAGCCTGGTCCTGACCATAGCTCTTAACAGTAAATGAAGTTCTAAGCCTAGCCTACACCTAACCATGGTCCTGATCCTAACCCTCACTTCGTTCTTCTACCTTGTTGTTGCTGTTATTGAGTGCCATTGAGTCAGTTTCGACTCATAGCAACCCTTTATAAGGTTTCCAAAGAATGACTGCTGAGTTTGAACTGCCAACCTTGTGGTTCAAACTGATAATGCTGTGCAGTGCTTAACCCACAGTGTAGTACCAGGACTCCACTCCTACCTGCCCACCCACACACCCCCAAATAAAAAAAAGACAAACAAAGATTTGTGTAATACACCCACTCTTCACTTATAGGTACGATTGATTAAGTTCCAGAGACTAGGTTGTTATGTGAAGATCAGTATTATGTGAAAATGGAGGATGCCTACATCATTACATAGCTGTCAATTACATCATTACATAACTGCCAAATCATTGAGAATCATGCTCCAGCCAAGCTGTCATATAACCTTAACCATCACAGCCAGTGGTGTTCTTGACTCACACCATGGTGTTAATTACTGTAAGACATACTTCATTAATGCACAATATAGATAGTAGGCTTTTTATTATTTTCATAAATATAAAATGCCAGATAGCAAGGTAGTCTATAAGTGAGGAGGAGATGTAGTTAGTACTTCATGATGTTACTGACATTATCTGTAAGTTTACTTTTATCGTCACTGTTCTTACTACAAGGATTCATAAGGATATGGGAACTCATTCAAAAAAGAAGAATTGTTATGTATAATTCTTAAAGGAATATAAGCTGACATTATTCTGATTATATTGTGCCCGTTCATATAGGTTTTGGTGAGCTCTGATGTTTATGTTGAATTATGTGTATGATTATGGCTACTTCTGTGAATAGAGTTTCTTATTAATGCTGTGATTTAGATGAATCTCAAGAATCTAAGCCCACTCAAATGTAATTAAATAGCTGAAAAATTAAAATACTGAAAATTTGGAAAAGTAGCATTTGGTCAGAGCATGTCTGCTAGAAAATGATGGCTGTATGTTTTTTAATGAGCAAAAAGGAATGGTTAAAATGTTTGCTTTTTAAGTACTTGAAAATAAACAATTTAATATTTGAGTTGTCTTTACTTTGGCTGTATTAAAAAGCTAGAAAACAAACAAAAGTGAGTTAAGTGTATACATTAGGGCAAGTGTTTCTGTCTAGAAAGTATGACTTTGCTCAGGATCTCAAATTCTTCTTTGAAGCACATTATAATAAGAATAATTTTTGTTTTATGTAAACAGTGCAAAATACTTTATCTGAAGGCTTTTAACCATTTACTTGGTTGGGTTTCAAGAATGTGTACCTAAAAGTTTAATTAATACAATGATTGAAAAATGTTTGCCTTTAGAGGGATAGGATTAAAATAATGTGTTCACCTAGAACTTTACAGAGGAAAGGTGACATATAGCTAAATGAAATTGATTTGAAGGGATTAAGTTAGAAATCGAACCTTTAAAGAAGTTTGAAGTAAACTTTTGACTTATTGGGGAGTTCATAGGAAAGTTAAGAAAGCATTCAATTATTTAAGAAAGCAGGAAAAAATACTACATATGCCTGCATATATGGTGATCTCAGAATATGGTTGTTCACTTGTTTCCCCAATGACCAGTTTTGAATATATACACTTCTAAAGGTATAGATAAAATGTTCAAATGCTTATAATTTTAATGTATTAATTTACTTATGTACTCTATTTTTTAGAAAAATCACATACTGTATAAATGGCTAATTTAGAAGTGGCAACCTTTACAGTTAATCAATAGGCTTTATTGACATTCTTCACCTGTGTATTGACATTAGTGTCTTTGTCATCACAAAACCCACTGTTCTGAGTCACCTCACCTAGTTTTCTAGCATACACCACTTCTGCCTAAATTGTTTGAGATTTAGTATTTTTTTATTCAAGTATACTTCTGTCACTGTGAACTGTGTTCCAAACTATAAGCACCGTTTACATTATTCACGGACAGTTTTTATTTAGCACATTTGCCCTATAGGTGACTATACTTAATCTCCAGAGTGCTTTTTAAGGTTAAATTTAATATCTTGGATAATCATATCCAACAATTGTAATTATAAAACATCGTGTTGAAACTATAAAATCTTTTTTGTTTATTACTGATTTTCTGAATATTACATCTATAAACATTTGAAACTAATAATGACTGAGGTTGTTTCAGTCTATTGTGCTTTTTTTCCCCCAAACAAAATGTTGCTTTACAAAATGAAGTAATGGTAAGGTGTAGTAAAGATTTGATGATGAAGTAACTTGGTCTTTTCTGAGCAATAATTTTGGAAGAACAAGAAATCTGCCGTATATTTGGACATGTACGATACTTGCCTTCTTCTCCTTCCCCCTTTCAAGGCTAGTCTTTAAATCTGAAATAAATTATAATAAAGTAGATAAAGAACAGAAGAACCTTTTAAAACTGCCAGTTTGAGGTGATATGATTAAGTTTAAGATTTTTTTTCTTAGGACATATCACAATCATTAAGAGTCCCCATTTCTTAAAGCAATATTTCTGTGAAGAAGATAGCAAATGAGTGCATAGATGGATATAGGGTGATAGACATTTCCTATAAATGTTTCCAATTAGCATGCTAGTATTTAGGTGAAATTTTTATTAGGTGTTAATAGTTATTTTGGTGGGAGTTCTGTTCTTGTCATTTCCAGACAACCGGGAAGTATTAATGATTAACCAGCAGCTACAGATAAGAATGTTGTTGTTAAGTGCCATCGAGTCGATTCCAACCCATAGCAACCCTATAAAGGGTTTCTGAGGAGCAGCTGGTAAGCTTGAACTGCTGACTTTGCCATGCAAATGGCCTTGCAGTCTGGCACATTAACCCACAGCGCCACACTGACTCCACAGATAGTAGTTGATGCTTTTATATGAGAGGATACAACTTGGCAATATAAGACGATTTAAGATTTGTGGTAGTTACAATTCTTCCAGTTTTGACTAGTCAATAATGCTTACTTTTAGGACTAAGAAAATTGATTTGGCAGATATTTTTACTTTTGTATTTATTATTAAAATTATTCTTCTACAATTTTGCAAGAAGGATTTTTAACTCTGGGTCTTCTAGCTTTGTTTTGAAAAGTTTAAATCATAAAAGATATGATAATATTGTTTTAATATATATGTATTTATAAAAAATATATTAACAAATTATACCAATGAAAATAATGGTGACTTAATCATTTTTTTCTCTTAACAGTGGAAAGAGTAGAACGAGAAAACCTATCAGACTATTGTGTTCTGGGCCAGCGTCCAATGCATTTACCAAATATGAACCAGCTGGCATCCCTGGGAAAAACCAACGAACAGTCTCCTCACAGCCAAATCCACCATAGTACTCCAATCCGAAACCAAGTGCCCGCATTACAGCCCATCATGAGCCCTAGTCTTCTTTCTCCTCAGCTGAGTCCACAACTTGTCAGGCAACAAATAGCCATGGCCCATCTGATCAACCAACAGATTGCTGTTAGCCGGCTCCTGGCTCACCAGCATCCTCAAGCCATCAACCAGCAGTTCCTGAACCATCCACCCATTCCCCGAGCAGTTAAACCAGAGCCAACCAACTCATCTGTGGAAGTGTCTCCAGATATCTACCAGCAAGTCAGAGATGAGCTGAAGAGGGCCAGTGTGTCCCAAGCTGTCTTTGCACGAGTGGCTTTCAACCGCACACAGGTACCATTAGCATTGAAAGCTGCGATTGATGGTTAAGAATCAAACTAGGGACAAAACAAGGAGTCCTGGTACTGCAATGCTTATGTGCTCAGCTGCTAAATGGTCAGTGGGTTGAGCCCTTTAGTGGCTTTATGGGAGAAAACACCTGGCAATCTGCCCCAGTCAAGATTACAGCCTAGGAAAGCTATGGGGCTGTGCTACTTTGTCATAGAGGTTCATCATGTGTTAGAATTGATTCCATGGCACACAACAGGGATAGAATTTTGTTATGTCTTAGTTCTTTAAACAATTCTTTTAAAAATATTTCTGGGTCTTCGAACATACCATATTATGTTAACTAATAAATACTAGTTTGTGACCCTAATTAATTCATTTTAATGGTAAAATGAAGACCTGTGAACTGAATACTCACAAAATGCTACCAATGACTCAGATCATCCAGTGTTCTCCTCCCCTATCCTTTCCCCAAATGTAACTATGATCTTGAATTCTAAGATTATCATCTCCATTTATTTTAGCTAGCTCTAAAACTATCCTTGGATACAAAGCAATATACTCTAGAATTTAGCATAGCATATTTTTGAACTTTGAACTTTATATTTTTGAAACTATAAAAAGATTATCATTACATGTCATTATTTCTATACTCTTTTAACTTTTCAAAATGTACAAGTTGGATTTATTGTATTGGAGACCTGGTATGGCACTGAAGGATAAGCACTCAACCATAAGGTTGATTTGAACCACCAGGTCAGCAGTTCAAACTCACCAGCTGTTCCTCAGAAATCCTGTACAGGGTCACTGTGAGTTGGAACCAACTCGCCAGCATTTACCAACAAAGGGATCATGAATAGATTATTGATGTCTTTATATTTGGGGGAATCATGTATCTGCCTAATATTGAGGTCTCTTACGGTTAAGGCATTCTTCTCCATCAGTGGTTCTGAAATGTGAGTTTGCATCAGAATCACCTGGAGGAGCAGGTCCCACCCACACAGGAGGTCTCAGATGGGGTCTGTGAATTTGTTTCTTATAAGCTCCCAGGTGATGCTCCTGCTGCTGGTTAGGAGTCCACACTTTGAGAACCACTTGTCTAGCCTGTATGTGAATAACAATAGAGTAAAGGTGCCTAGCCACAAGGAGGTGTAACTATCTAGTTGTTAAGGGCTGTTGAGTGGACTCTGACTTATAGCCACCTTATAGAGGGTTTCCAAAGAGCAGCTGGTGGGTTTGAACAGCAACCTTGTGGTTCACAGTCCAGGGCTGATCCTACAGTGCCACAGCAGTAGTCCAACTATCTAGTAATGAAAAAAAAAATATCCAGATAACCTTAGTAAGATAATTATAGTAAACAGTGTTGTTTAGTGCCAGTGAATTGGCTCTCACCCATAGGGTTTCCAAGAAGCAGTTGGTGAGTTTGCACCACTGACCTTGAGGTTCAAACTAGCCTTGCAATCCAGTGCTTATCCTACAGTGCCATACCAGGACTCCAATTAACAATGTGGTGGTGGTTATGTGTCGTGGAGTCAGTTCCGACTCATAGCAACCCTGCATCGCGTTTATGAGGCTGTAAATCTTAACGGGAGCAGAAAGCCTCATCTTTCTCCTGCAGAACCGCTGGTAGTTCCGAACTGGTGACCCTGAGGTTCGCAGCCCGATTCGTAACCACTACGCTACCAGCGCTCCTTAATTAACAGTGTAGGGGAGTGTAAATAATGATCATAGTGGGGTTCATAGGAAGTTGATAGTGAAGAAAACATCCAATAGAGTGAATGCTGTAAGTCTTCACAAAGAGAGTGGTTTTCAGTTTAGCCACCCTACTAAATGCAGGACAGGAACAAAGATACAAAGATGAAGAAATATCATGTGTCACAACTAGCTAGAGTGTTATGTTATGTGGGAATTAGACCTTGAAGGATGAAAACTATTTCACAGGCAAAGATGAAGAAGGGCATTGTTTGTTGTTGTCGTTGTTAGGTGCCGTCTAGTCAGTTCTGACTCATAGCAATCCTGTGCACAACAGAACCAAACACTGCCTGGTCCTGGGTCAGCCTCATAATTGTTGTTACATTGAGTCCATTCCTGATGCCACTGTGCCATGCCATCTCATTGGGGGTTTTCCTCTTTTTCACTGACCCTCCGCTTCATCAAGCTTGCTGTCCTTCTCCAGGGACTGATCCCTCCTGATAATATGTCCAAAGTATGAGAGACAAGTTTCACCATCCTGGCTTGGAAGGAGCACTCTGGCTGCACTTCTTCTAGCACAGAACTGCTTGTTCTTCTGGCAGTTCATGGTGCTTTTAATATTCTTCTCCAACCCCATTACCCAAATGTATCATTGCTTCTACAGTCTAAGAGAATTCATTACAAAATGCATTTTTTAAAAATGCAGGAATAGTTTGGCATTGATAGTAAAGCTACGTGATAAAACGTCGAGGCATGTGGATGGTAGGGGCATGTAAACCTTGGTCAAAAACATGTTTTGAGGGCTATTAATAAGCACCAGAAACCATTCAAGGTTTTATGTAGGAATATGCTGTGATTCAGTGATGAGAAGTGAGTCTTAGAAAGGCTTCTCCCTCTTATGATAAGAAAAAGGTAGGGAGATCACTTAGGAGGCTGCCATATTGTTCAGCAGAAAGTGTGGATGTTTTGAACCAGGCTGCTGACCATGGAGTTCAGAGTGCTGAGTCAAAGGGTGGTACAGAGATAAATGTGATAGAAACAGAGTAATGAGTGAAGGCTCAAAGGGAACACTGAAGTTTTGAGTCTGGTAACGGAGAGAATGGAGCCTGGTGTGTCGTAAGATAAACATTTGGCTGCAAGGTTAGTTTGAACTGCAAGGTTGGTGATTCAAATTAACCAGTATCTCCTTGGAAAACCTACACAGGGTCGCTGTGAGTCGGAACTAACTCAAGGACACTCAACAACAACAATAATGGAGACAATAGAGGTGTACATTTTGAGAGATTTAAGGAAGATATTGAGAAGGGTGGTTGGAGTTAGATTAAAGTGACAATTTTTGGATTGGACTTTGAAGTGCTGACCAGTTTCTTCAATGAGAACTTCAAGTAATCATTGATAATACGAGTTTCATACTAAAAATCATTGTCAGGGTTAGCGGAAGAGGTGAGAAATTTATTCACAGAGCCTGAGACTTAGAGAGTTGGGAGAAAGATGAAACCACTACCATCATTATATACCAAGTAAAGCGAGGAAACACCAGGATTGTTGGGAGCAGGTGAAGATGGAAGAATAGGGAGATTCCAGGGGGAGGGAGTTCTAGTAGAGGATATGAGTAGAGTTTCCACAAGAGAACTGGCCCGTGGGGAGCACTAAGGAGTTTGGTAGGAAGAAGGTTGGCCCTGTGCCATAAGATGTGGTGAATGACTGGGAGGTCTTGGGCAAACTTTGGAGTATAGCTTTATTAGAGTGGTGGGATGGGAGCCAGAATTCATAAGGTAAGGGGTGATCAAGTGTTGAGGATTGAGGAACTTCTAATTATTTTCTCCATAATTTGTTGTTAAAAAGGAGGTCACAAGTGCTTGACAGCTTGAATATAATAAGAAATCAATTCAAGAAAGGATATGTGAAGTAGTTTGGAGCTTCAGCTGAAGTTACACAACATGAAGTGTGATCGAACTTATCAATGGTTTTATGACAATCTTCAGCAAAGCCAGAACACTGGGAGTGGGAGTAGGGAGGAGCCCTAGAGGAATTGTTTGGGATTTGATGCTGACAGATTAGATATGGCAAGAAACCAAGCGGAGTGAAATCTCTTGCTCCCTGGACTTGTCCCTAATTTTTACATTCTGCTATTGACAGGGTCTGTTTTTATCATTTGAAAATTAATTCAGAGGCTCAAAGACATGTGCACATGTTCCAAACATCAGTGCATTACTTATTACTAGTGACTCAAATACTCAGGCAGTCTTCATGTGTAGTTATCTAAATTGAGGTTATGAAAAGTTCCAGTCCTTTGGGGCAAATCAGTTGCATGGTATTGCAAAATACAAATTGGAAGGAGGCGTCTTTTGCAGTTATGTTTGCGTTCTTTCATTTATCATTCATGTGCATGAAGAGACGTCCCATGACTAGCCAGCATTGGATTGCCTGGTCATACATCATGTACTTCATTTGGCTAAGGATAAAATTAAAAGTATGGTTGTGTTACTTTGGGTTTTAGAAGTAAATATAGTATACATTTTATCTAAATGGCATGGAGCATGAAAGAGGACTCAGAATGAGGCAAGACAAAAACAGCATGCTAGTGTGAGAGTGTGCTCTGCCAAGGCCCCAGACTCCTGGAGGTCTGTCTTCTCCTGCACAGTCCTTTTTGTCTATTTTTATGGATTAATGATTTTTCCTTGGCACTGCCATCTTTCAAATGCCAAGTTATAAAAAGGTCTAATTGAACCATGGAACACATTTTATTATTTTCCTCCTGCCATTAAATTTGTGAGATGGCTACACCCAGAAAGAAACATTCACTTTCAATCAACATGAGCTTGAGTTCATGGGCCAGCCTTGAGGATATCAAATGGAAACTGCATAGGAATGTATGAGTATTTCCTTTTAAAATTCTGCTTTTAATTTGGGAAAGCTTTTCATCCCTCAGGGATCATAACCTGTTGTGTATAAAGCCCAACCTAATCAAGGTAGATGGTATTGACAGAATGACATAGTTTGAACTTAAACTAGAGGTCAGCAGGCAGATTGTTTTTGCTGTGTATGTACTCTAGCCACTAGCAGCTAGGCTGGGCAGCTGGATTTCACCGGCAGCATTGTTGAGTGAAAATATGGTGTACTAAGCTCCATGAAACCAACCACTGGATTTTCCAAATGTTGAACTTCTTTTGTGTGGAATCCATGGATAATATGATAATTTCTAAGCTGTCATAAACAAATGAAAAGAACTTTATAGATAATAACATGAGAGAATTGGTGATTTTCAGATAAAAAGAATCTCAACTTTTTTTTCCTCAAAGCAAATAGAATCA